CAATAAATAAAGCACACAATGAAGAAGGATTATTATTCTTTGTTTGCTTCTTAGTTGCAAAAAAACATTTCTATTTACTGCAAAAATATTTACCAAATCACTTCATTTGACTGGAATCTTCAATAACAATTAAGTTCATAGAAATTTAAATAATTATTTTTATGAATATGTTTTTGAATGGTTTAGGCTTTTAAACTGAACAACCAACCATCCCTGACATAAAAAATATGAAACTACAACCTAAAAACTCAATTTTTTTAGTAAAATTAAATTTTTCACTGCAAAAGCTCACATGAAAATTTTTTTAAAGGTATAGTTAGTAATAAAATCATTCCAGTTTTTATTTGATAAGCTGTACAATTTCCCTAATTATTTTTTTTGTTTCGACAAAAGAAAGACGAGGATGTTACAAATTTCAATTGGTCTCAGTAATTAAATAAAACTGCATTAACGTTTCTGTATCAGTAATATTAAACAGAAAATCAATGATCAGCATCAATTCGTCACCACCTTTCAAGATTTGGTACACCATATCACCTGATTTAGTTGCTCTAATGGAAGTCAATCATAAAAATTCCAGAAGTAGTAGAAATATGTCAGTACAACTTGCAGGGTTATTTAAATATTGCTTCTGGATATTTTTATATCAATAGAAAAGGTCTTGTAATATATTATAAAAAGACTTAACAAGTTTAAGAAATTGTTATACCTCATCCGTTAAGGAATGTTTGGCATTAAGAACTTGTATTTTAAACAGGTATTTATAGAAGCCCTACATCTAGTGTAGAAAATAATAAAAATTTGTTGACATTGATGAAAGATGTACAGACAATGCAATGCGATTTTAATTCGCCTGAAATTAATTGGGATATCTATAGGTACAGTGGGAGTGATAAAAAATTTGAGAACAAATTTTTAGATATCATCAAAAATAAATTTTTGATACAACACATTACCCAGCCAACAAGATTTAGAACAGCCAATCAGCTAACATACTAGACCTGGTGATTTCCTCACAGGAGTTTGTTAAAAATGTAAAATATTATTTCCAACTTTGAAGCAGCGACCACTTGGTGATTGAATTTATGGTTTCTGGTGACAGTTGCTCTACTAAAATGAGTTTCAAAAAGTTTTACTTCAATCTGGGTGATTACGATGGATTAAAGGCCATCAATGATTTGTTAGGCAAGGATGTAAACGTTGAAAGTGATCGGAAGATATATAAAAATAATTTATGTGCTAGCATAGATGAATTTATACCAAGAAAAACAAAGAATATTAATTTAAGGTATCTTGTGATGAAGATCTTATCCTAATAAGTTAAATCCTGATAAGTTGCATTACATAACCTAAATTATGATGACAGATTAAACATAGATGAAACACTGGTAAAAATTATTATACTTGTTTTTAATTATGTAAAAATTTCGGGGTTAACAGGATCTTTTAACATAAATAACATCACGATAGTACTTTTGGCTTAAAAAAGAAGAACTTTTAACTTTTAATTTTTTTTTTATTTTTAATTTTAATGAATGTAATGAAAATTTATGAAACTTGAATTAAAAGTGTAATCTGAGGAAGAATAAATTTTAAAAAATTTATTTCAAATAACATAACTAAAACATCAATGTTTAACCTTAATAAAATAGATTTGAAAAAATGAATAAATGGAATAATTACTTAAATGACTATTTTATTTTCCATGTATGTTATGCTTACAAACTCCTTAAACATTGTTTTCCTTATTAATCACATAATTTACTTATTAAGTCATTAGTTAATATAATTAATTATTTTATTTACTCGTTTTTTTAAATCTTTCTTTAATTTTCCATGCTTTTCATGCTTAAGCGTTCTTACTCTGTTATTTATTTTTCATTATCATTTTATACCATGCTTTGTATGTTGTAACAGTTTCTGCGATTTTCAGATTCTGAATTTTTTTTGAATAATATAAAAAGAATATATTGATAGTTGTTGCTAATAAATTGTTATAGATAGATATATTATGTAAAAAATTAAAATATTAATAATTATTAATAATATTATCAGAGTGACATTCTAATTCTATCTCGTTTGTGACAATGACACGGAGTTACTCATATGGTTACTCTTTCTATGTCTCAATTTCTAACTAGTGTTCAGGTGTTCAGGCATTATTTTTTAGTTTTAAAAAATATTTTGTAAAGTTTAACAGATTTATTAATCATTAATGCACAAACGTCTATTCACATATTTAAATATCAAGGTATATGTGCTGAGCAATCAAGACAACAACAAGCATATTGTCACACTTAAAAAAACAAAATTTTTATGTAATGTCATCAAAGTTTAACTTGATAATGAAGTTTAACTTACTTTATCATTATTGGAGGTCATATTATTATACAACGTTGAATGCCGGTAAACTGTGCTTCAATCAGCAGTTCAGCGATGGAATTAAACAAATGATATATATGTTCTTGACAGATGACAGAATTGGATAATGATTATCATCAGAGACAGGACTTCAACTGTTGGGTAAAAAATTAAAATTTATATAATAAGATAAAAAAGATAATATCGCTCTCGAAATTCGAAAATCATTTATTCTAAATTATTTATTTCTTAACTAGTGTTTTTTAAATAAAAATTTATTTAAACATTTAATAATTAAATGGGTACTAAAAAGAAGCCGAAAGAGACCTTTTTGGAGATGAGGACATCTGAAAGCGACCTCAGTTTAAAGTTGTGTGAAGATTGCCTTAGCTGCAATAGGGAAAGACTGGCCTAAATTCTTAAGGAGAATTTGCAATGTGAAAGTTCCGTTCCAGTAGTTGAGGTACTAAGTGCAGAAATTAAAACCTCAACTCAGTCTATGATATCAAGGATGAATTTTCTTGAAGAGGCTGTAAAAGCTCAAAGTGAAAAATAGAAATTGTTAGCAAAAAATATTGAAGACTCTTCTCAGGCTTCTATAAAACAGCTTGAGTACTATGAAAAGTTAACTAAAGCTACTGTTGTGCAAAATGAACAAACGTTGATAAAATATTCTGATGTTGTGAGGGGTGGGGTTAATTTGCTCTCATCTGATGTGAAAATGATGAAGGAGTCAATTCAGGCCACATCAACTAAGATGGATGTTATTAATGAAAGAGAAAAGAGGAAAAATAATATCATTCTGTACAACATGTCTGAAAAGGAAAATATTAAAGAGTCAGTTAACAAGCTACTAAAAGAGATCTCAGGAACAGACTTGGGGACAGAGGTAGTTGAAATTTCAAGATTGGGAAAAAAGTCTGATGAAGAAAAATCAAGACCCGTTCTAGTTCAGTTTTCTAATTATACTGTTAAAAATCTCATCCTAAACAACTGCGCCAAGCTGAAAAAATCCTTGAATTTTAATAAAGTCATCATCAACCATGACTTTTCAAGGGAAGATAGAATAAGTAACAGGAAGATTTTGGAAGAGAAAAAAAAAGAAATTGGTGAAAAAGATGATGTATCAAAGTGGTCATTCAGACTGAAGGGCGTGCCAGGAGACTTTTATGTTATTGCTTTCAAGAAGCAAAATTTACTAAAGTAAAAAATTCAAGTTGCAATAATGGTAATAATTTAAGTGTCATTATGACTAATGTTGACTCAATAACAAACAAATTTTTGGATCTAAAAATTTTTCTACAAAGTTTGGATGTTGCACCTGATCTAATTGCTTTGAGTGAAGTTAATCCTAAAAATTTCAATCAATGTAGAATTTTATCAGAGTTCTGTCTGGAGGATTACTCAATTATTTCTTCTGGTTTTGCTGAACAACACAGAAGAGGTTTAATGTTGTTTTGTAAGAGATCATTACTATTAACTGAAATAAATTTAAATTCATCATTCAAAGAGTACATAATAGTTAAACTATGTGTTTCTAATAAAGTTTTAAATATTCTCTTTGTTTATAGAAGTCCAAACTCTAATGTTGGAAATAATGATCTTTTGCTGAAGTTGATAAATGATGTGCTGGCATTACCTGGTGAAACCCTAATGTTTGGAGACTTTAATTTTCCTGATATTAATTGGGACACGTCCAGTTGTGAAGGTAATGATGAGAGGGTTGAAAACAGATTTTTGGATCTTCTTAAAGATAAATTTTTAATACAACACATCAATCATCCAGCAAGATTTAGAGATGGTCAGACATCAAATATCCTGGATCTGGTGATTTCATCCCAGGAATTTATAAATAACATCATACATTACCCACCTCTAGGTAACAGTGACCACTCAATTTTGGAATTCAAGGTGACTGGTTTTTGTTGTTCAGCCATGGAATGTGATAAAAAGTATTGTTTTGATTTGAGTGATTATATAAATTTTAGAAATGCACTGGGGGTCTCCTTGCAGGTTCCTTCTTCTTGGTTTGAGGATGCAGAGGATAATTGGAAATTTTTCAGGAACCAATTAGTCACTTGTGCTCAAAAGTTTGTTTCGATGAAAAGAAGAAGAATATATTGCAATTTTAAAATAAATGAAGAACTAAAATCTCTTATTAAACAAAAGCATTTGATTTGGAGATCAATTTACAGATACGGTGAAGACAAAATGGACAAATATCGTTCAATCAGAAATGAGATAAAGAGACTCGCCAGTGTCTTGAAAAATCAATATCAGGAATCTATTGCAAGAAATTTCAACAGAAATCCAAAATAGTTTTGGAATCACGTAAAAAAAATCACTAGGCGTCATGAGGATATTGGTACTCTGTCAATTGATGGGAAGGTCGTTACCTGTGACGATGAAAAAGTTGAAGCGTTTGCAAGTTTTTTCTCTTCCGTTTATGAAATAGATTCAAATTTTGAGAACCAATTTTGTGCTATAATTGGAAATTCCTATCTGACTATGGACGATTTATCTATTGATGAAAATATGATTCTTTCTAAATTGAAACAACTAGCAACAAGCAAATCAGCGGGACCGGATGAAATTCATTCCAGAATTTTATGGAAAATGAAAGATTTTGTTTCTAAAGGTTTGTGCAGAATTTTTCAATGTTCATTGGATGAAAGTGTGGTATTTGATGATTGGAGAATTAGTCACGTTGTTCCCTTGCACAAAAAAGGACGCAAAGATTTAGTTCAGAATTATCATCCAATTGCGCTTACATCAATTTGCTGTAAGATTCTGGAGTCATTAATAAAAGATCACATTATGAATTATTTTCTGAAAAATAATTTGTTTTCAAGTAATCAATTTGGTTTCATCCCAGGTCGTTCAACGGTTTTGAATCTTTTGAAATTTTTGGACGTGGTGACTGAAGGAGTAGATCGTGGTTACGAGGTTTGTGTGGCGTACTTGGACCTCGAGAAGGCGTTCGATAAAGTATCCCATAGTCGTTTGTTGTTCAAGCTTGAACAGTATGGTGTGTATCATAAGATAGTAAAGTGGATTGATAAATATCTTCAGGGCAGGGTGTTTCAAGTCAAGTTAAACAACACTTTATCGAAACCAAGACCTGTCTTGAGTGGAGTCCCTCAGGGTGGTGTTCTAAGTCCTCTGCTATTTCTCATCTATATTAATGACGTTTCTTCCATTGCCCTCAGCTGCTGTAAATTCATCCTCTCTATGCGGTTTTAAATCGGCAATAGACAATTTTTTTTGAGATGTCATGTTTGATTGGAGGGCTAATTTCTGATAATCTCAATAATATTGTGTCTTTTGTTTATTTTCCTATATTTATAAATTTAAATTTTCGTTGACTCAATTTTTTATATTCTCTGTTAAAAATCCTTTGTTTTGGTTCGTCTTCAATTTTGGTTTTTTATTATATTTGTGATAGTATTAACTAGACAGAATTTGTTGTTGATTCAATTTCCTGTTTGATTGCCACTGTAATGACTTTGTTAAACATCTAATGAAGCTAACTCATTTAATTTTATAATGACAATTTGATTTCTATCTTAATCAGTTTTTAATTTTTAAGGGTTTATTTTTGTTACTTTTGATTTTTCGATTTTTATTTGGTTGGCAATGGGCTATGCCCGAGCTATTTCTAATAATAATAATAATAATATAAACACCATGTGACTGTACTAATGCTCCCTTATGAACCTCTGGGGTATTAGTGAAGGATATGCCATTATATTATGCATTATAATATGGTAACGTAGCACTCAGAGATAAATAATGTGCAAGCTCCAGTGTAAGCAATTTGTTGGTTTAGTTTTTAGTAGTTAGTTGTTGAATAGAGAATTACTGTTGTAATGTGTTGACTGTTGTTAGTTAAATTTAAATTTATAACATAAAATTTTTTAATTAAAAATAAAATAAATTGCCAAAAATAAACTGACCAGTGTAAAAATTAAATTTTCATGTGGCGCACTCATTAATAACTTAATTAAACAAAATAAAAAATATCAACAAAATTGCTTTTAAAAAAATTACGTTAGAAACGTTAGCTTCAAAATGCTTCGGCAGATAAAATAAATACAAAGAGGTGTAAACATTGAGTTTATATAGTGATTAACCAATGAAATATAATGAAAATATAAGATGGGAACCATAAACCATATACTTAAAATACCTATAATAAAATATATTATAGGTTCTCGTGGACAAGTGGTTAGGTTAGCGTGTCTATCTACTACTTCAATGACCCAGGCTGGAATTCTGCAGTTTAACTCAAAATTTGTTCTTATGATACTAGTTAACTCAACCTTCGTTAAAAACTTTGTGCAAATGATTGTTAGCCATGCTCTACCATGTTTTTCAAATGTTCACATCGTCGCAAGTTATGATTGGGGTAAATACATAATACAAAAAAGAAAACAAATTGAGGAAAAAAAATTTTTTAAAAACCGGCTCACATATGTAAATTCATTAATTGTTATCTATTGTTCGCAACACATTTGAAACTTATTTAGAATCGCTTTATATTGCACAAAAAAAGCTTTGACAATTTTAAATTTTAGATACAATGTGGACAAAAAAAAAACTTGTTTAATCAGCTTCAAATTTTATCAATTTTTGAAATTAATGATTTTAAGACATGCTGTTAACAATAATTTGTTGAGAACATCAGACGCGCATCTAAATGACTTTTAAATGTGACACGAAAATAAGAAATACGCGCGTGAACTGCAAAAATAAATTAAAAGTTTCTGTTATAAAAAGTAAGTTGCTTGACAGAAACGTATGTTTTTAAGGAATTTATAAGTGGAATAATAGACTGCCGTCCTTTGTTAGGTCGTGCATGATCTATCGTTAAAAAACTATCTTCAATGCTTCTCATAATGTATAATTGATTTTTTTTATGATTGATTTCTATTGTCTGTTTCTTTTACACTATTGATCATTTTAATTTTTTCTTAAATATTGATTTTTAATTTACATGTGTGTATTTACGTATGAATTTTTGTATGTACGTATGCATGTGTATGTACATCTTTCTTTTATTTCAACAATCATAATCTTAGTTGTGTTGTGTTTTGTTATTTTATTATTATTTTACTTAATTTTAATTTATTATTAATTTTAATTAATTTGATTTTAATTCTATTCGAACAATGTATCGCATAATGATTTTAACCAGAGAACATATGTGTTATGTATATGTATTTGTGTATATATGCATATTTCTTTTACAAAGTACATTAATTTGATTTTTTGTATTGATTTAGACAATTTCATAAAAAATTGTAGGGTTCTTATTTATTTGAGATTTCATCGTTTTAAGGGCACTTTTTCATGTTTCGTTTTTTTATGCGTTACATGAAATAAACTTGTTTGAAAAACTATTAAGTGTTGGAACGCCACCAAATCTTCATATCAGGAAAAAACCTCATCACAAGACACCTCAAACATATACAATACACGCTCAATAAAACTATCATTCACACAACTAGTTTTTATTTATCGATCACCTCACTAACTCACTTAGTCATCATCTACTCTATTAATTTGCCTTTTTATGCCATAACTTCATTTCATTGTCAATTTATTTTATTGTTATTGTTATTGTTTATTTTATTCTATTTTATTTTACTTTTCATGTTTAAACATTTTCCTTTTTTCATTTTTTTATTTACCTACTTATTCGTTTAATTTTATACTAGTTTATAATAAAATAACAAAACACAAAACAATTTTATACTACTGCCTTCCATGCTGTAGCAGTTTCTGCGTCTGTCATATCCTGATTTTTAAAGAATGATAATAAAAAAATATCTAAAATTTTAGTGATATTTATCCATGGTATTTATCTCTTAGTGTTATATGTTAATGTTAGGGCATACGTTGACAGGAAATTTTTTATTATCGTTATATATACCATTAGGGAAAAAGAATTAACAAAATCGAACAAATGACAAATAATATTATTGAGTGTTAAAATGTTTTAGGTGTCTTGGGATTAGAAAATAAAGGTGTTATCCCGTTTTACTGACTTTTTATAGAAACGCTGCTCACAACCGAGTCGGCTGCCCTAGATTTGCAACTGTTTGTGTTCTTGAAGAATCTTGAATCGAGTATGTTGAATATTTGAGTAACGGTAGGATATGCGATGAAAATAAGGGGCTATCCATAAAGGATGACACGCTTTTTTAACGTTTTTTTGACTCCCCCGTGTCACAAACTGTCACAAATCGACCAACCCCCAAATATAAGCATGTCACAAAACTTTACTCCCCCCCGCCATCTTAGTGAAGTGTCATTAAACATAATTGTTCTATTCCTTTTATTTTTTTATTGATATCAAAATAACGAATGACAAGTTTATATGACGATAGTTTGATATTTAAATGCTCTACCGTATTTAAAATATAACGAATTAATATTAACTTCTACACCTACAGACAGGGCCGCCAACAGCCAAACCGGGCCCCAAGTTTAAATGCATACCGTGTCCTTCACATATATATATATATATATATATATATATATATATATATACAGTATTGTATGAATTCTACCGAATTGGGAGTAGAGGCTAAACAAAATAGAGTTCAGCATATATCAGCTACGCTGAATAACTTATTAGATGAATGGAACAGATGGGAAATAGCCGTCACCACCAAAGATAACAACAATTCGGTAGAGTTCATACAATACTGCATTCTCCTTCCAACATATATATACGTATATATATATATATATATATATATATATATATATATATATATATATATATAACTACATCATACATATAGCACAAATGTCAAAATGTCAAAAATTGCTCAATCAGCTCTCCATCTACAACATAACGAAGGACAGCACTTAACTGATCTAATTGTAAAATATCAGATGTTGAATCTACCGACAAGTTGAAATAGCCGGAAGTCTTAACTTCATTCACAATGATTTCATAGACTTTTTTTATACATAATTTCAATCATTTCCTCACATATAGTTTTGGATAAATATGAAGAATTTCCTTTCCCAGAATTTCCATATTTCGCAGTGTGCGATGCTAAAAATGCATCAAACTGACTAACCAGCTTTAGCAGTCCTAAATAATTTCCATTTTGTAAAGATCCGAATTTTTCATTTGCTCCTCTAAAAACCAAACCACGTTCAGCTATAGTACAAATAACCGCTATTGCTTGTCTCACAACATTTTCCCAGAAAATGTACTTTTCATTTATTTGTTCTTCTAGCTTTTGCAATAGACCTGAGCCTTGTCGGCGAGTTAAGTAAGTTAACATACAGTCTTTGTGATTAGCGTTTTGTTGATGATTATCAACTTGAATATTATTTTCCATTCACTGAACCCATTTTTATCAGCTAAACATGTTGAATCTTTAAAAGCAAAGAGTTTTTACACGAAGCAATATACAGATGGCAAATACAATAACCATTCTCTCTTGTACTATTTACCATTTGCTTTTGTTTCGTGCCATAAAAGAGCTTTTGAGAACAATATCTTGTTAATTTCCTTCCAACAATTTGTGATTTTATATTATATTTGCATTTGATATTGATTATGACGATATTTTGGAAACTTATAATGCTTGGTTGTCATTGTCATCATCATCCTTAATTTCCTTCCTCTTCTACATTATCGTTTTTTAGATTTATGTTTATTTGTTTTCCCCGATTTTGTTTTTAATTGTCCAATGTTTTTTAATCTGAAATTTATATGTCTGCTCAGTTTTAAAGCCTAAAGTTTTAAAGTAAGAGAAGTTGCGGTGGAAATTTGGAAATTGGAAATTAAATTTGGGTTTTAAGATTTAACCCTTTTACCATCTGAATCAAACAAACCCAAATTTTCCAGCGAATCGATTAAATGCAGCATTTTCATAATAAAATAGCACAACTGTTGGTATCCGACTTTTTGTAAAAATTAGTCTGTTAATTGATTCTAATACATTTTCAGCTACCCTATACAAAATCTAGTGATTAAACTATTACAAACATTAACACCGTATTCATTCGTTCGTTAGTTCGTTCAGATTTTACGGCGTTTTATCACGTTTTCCGGCTGTCTTTAATTTAAACCACTGCAAAATAATTTCATTTTATTTATTTTATTTTATTGTATTCTTTATGATCTCAATTTCAATTAGAAATTTCAATATATTTTGGATGTGATCTTTGTTGATAAATATTTTTGCTAACTTATTTGCAAAAGGGTATTTATATCTAAATAGATTATAATTTCTGCAATCTGTTAGTATGTGTTGAATTGTTATTCTAATTTCACATTAATCACGAATTGAAGGTAGTGTGTCATTTTTGTGTGCCTAATTTTTAATCTGTTTAATTTAATTTGAAAATTTCTATTAAACATAGAAAACATTAGTTTTTCATTGATTTTATATTTGGGATAATTGATTTCAAAGAGGTGTTTATTTCTTTTCAATTTTCTATTAACATTTGTTTACAGTAAGGTATTGGAACATCAGAAATTGATAGTGAGTGTGCCATAGTCACTGCTCCATCGATTTCTATGTGACATGGAATGCTTACGAAAATTAAATTGTTATTCAAAATGTTGCTGATTAATTTTAATTTGCACTAATAATGGATCTTCATGTTTGTACTGCTGTATGGTTAATAGGCTTGATAAAGAATCAGTAAAAATTAGAAATATTTATTATGATTATTTTGTATATAATCCAGGGCCATTTTTATTCAGAGGCGGATTTAAAAATTTTGCCGCCCCTCGGTTTCTTAACTTTTTCTATTTGTTATTAACACATATATTAGCACATCCACTAGCAAAATAAAGTTATTTTTATTTATTTATCTCGAATGAGGAATTATAGATTCAATGTTTTAAACTTTTTTCAAGTTTTTTGGGTAAAATATTATCTATGCAATCAATCCAGTAAAAAAGGAATATGATATTAAAAAATGTATAATTTAT